AAAATCCCAAACAAAAGCCTCATTAAACATGGAGGAAGTAGAGGCAATAGAATTATCTGAGAAGGAATTTAGAAGGTATGTTTATAGAACCCTAGAAGTGCTTATGGAAACCCCAAACAGAAACAAGGAGAACACAGATAGTACCCTGGAAGAACTCAGGAAAACCATTCAAGAGCAAAATAACAAGATTAATGCACAATCAGAACTCATACAAAAACAGCAGTTAGGAATCCAGAAGATGAATATGAAAATTACAGAATTACACAATACAGTGGAAGCACAAAAGAGTAGGATAGAACTGGCTGAAGAACTCATTTCCCAACTGGAAGACAAATCCCTGGACACCAGCCTATATGAAGAAAAACCATATCAAAGATTTAAGAGAAATGAATAAAAATAAGAGTTATATGGGACAACATGAAAAGAAACAGCATATGCCTCATTGGAGTTCCAGAACAAGAAGAGGTGAAAAAGCCACTGAGAAAATTGTGGAAGACCTACTAACAGAAAATTTCACCCATATCGTGAAGGAAGAAAAGATATTTGTCCAAGAAGCTCATAGAACTCTATACAGGACAGATCCCAAGAGATAAACACCAAGGCGTATCATAATCAAACTCTCAAAAACCAAGGACAAAGAAAGAATTTTGCAAGGTGCCCAGGACAAAAGAAATATTACTTATAATAATCAAACAGTTAGGCTGAGCTCCAATTACTCAGCAGAAACAATACAGGCAAGAAGGCAATGGGATGACATATATAAAATACTGAAGGAAAAGAACTTCTGACCAAGAATCCTATATCCAACCCAGTTGTCCATCAAATATGAGAGTGAAATCAAGGCATTCCCAGACCAACAGAAATTAAGGATTTTGTGAAAACTAGACCAACCCTACAAGAAACGCATAAGGAAGTCCTTCCAATAGAGAACCAACAACAGAGAACAACAAAATCAGGATAAATGACATCAATACTAAAACCAAATCACAAATTGACACTCAAAATAAGACACTCATAAAACACTGTAAACTAAAAATAATTTAAGCCAATCTGCACACAACTACAGCAACTAACCATATAGAGGGAATAAAAGTTCTAGGTGCAAACTTCAAATGGAGAGGAAAACAGGACAATGTCTTCATAGAACAGACTGTTCTAAAAATATAGAGACAAGAATTCACTCCAAGGTAACCACAGAGAAAATTAACAATCCCCTTAAGCAAATCCTGAAGGAAGGAAAACATATGAGTTTAATAAGCACAAAACCAACAATAAAGAAGAAAAAAGAGGAAGCACTTGATAACAAAACAAACTCAGCACAGAAAAGTATATGGACCAAGGAAACTCCTACAACATGAAAAAAAAAATGACAGCAATCAATTCATACCTATCACTAATTACACTCAATGTGAATGGACTAAATGCACCAATCAAGAGAAAGAGAGTGGCAGACTGGATAAGAAAAGAAGACCCACAGATATGCTGCTGCTACAAGAGACCCACCTTAGACACAAAGATAAAAACAAATTAAGAGGTAAGGGGTGAAAAAAATATACCAAGTCAATGGTAACCAAAAAAGAGCAGGAGTGGCCATAATAATTTCTGATAAAATAGACCTTAAGATGAAAAACAACATAAGAGACAAAGAAGGTCACCATATGATGCTGAAAGGGTCAATTGACAAAGAAGACATTACGATAATAAATATCTATGCTCCCAGTTAAAGTGCTCCAAAATATGTGAAGCAAGTATTAATTGAATTAAAAGTGAAAATAGACAACTCTACAATAGTAGCAGGGGACTTTAACACACCACTTTCAAGGAGGGACAGATCAACTAGAAAAAACTCAACAAAGTTACAAAAGAATCCAACAACACAATCAACTAACTCGAACTTGTAGACATATACAGAACATTCCATCCAACAAAAGCACAATTCTCATTCTTCTCCAGTGCACATGGATCCTGCTTCAGAATAGATCATATGGTAGGTCATAAAACAAGCCTCAGGAAATTAAAAAACATTGAAACACTACAAAGCATCTTCTTGGACCACAATGCTATAAAATTAGATATTAATAATAGGAAGATCAAGGAAAAAACATCGAATACGTGGAAGTTGAACAATACACTGCTCA